CACACAAAATGGACCGCAGTCCGCACTGGGCTCTTGACTTCAAAAATTTCACTCTCTGAACTTGGGCTCCGTGGACCGCGCAAAATGGACTACGGCCGCGGAGGCTTCTAGTGCGGTTCACACAGAATGAATTAGGACCGCACAGGCTTCAAACTTCATTCTTCATCTTCTATGAACCTTGGCTCTGCGGACCGCACATAATGGTAGTGCGGCCGCATTGCCTTCAGTGCGGACCGCACAAACCCTAGTGCGGCCGCACTGCCTTAATGCTTGAAATAACAGCTCTCTGAATCTCCCTGTGCGGACCGCACAAAGTGTAGTGCGGCCGCACTGGGCCTGCTTTGCTTGAGCTTGCCTTGCCTTTGTCACTTGTGCAAGTTTCACTCCTTTTGAGCCGATCTTTGACATTTTGTCACTTTGTTGATCAAACCTGCAATCAAGCACAACTTGTGAGCCTTTTGGGACTATTTTGTATGAATATTTGATCAAAGCACAAGAAGGAGTATAAACTGCGGTAAAATCAGTAGTTATGAACTCCCCCAAACTTAAGCTTTTGCTTGTCCTCAAGCAAACAAAATAAGACCCACCCCTTAAGAGAATGTCCAAGAAAAATTTCAGCAGCCCTAATATGACCTCAACTAGCCTCAATTGGGACTAGCAATTGCCCTCAATACACATGAATCATTAACAACATTTACTCTTTGAAAAACCATGGATCAAGTGCGACACAAGAGCATCAAGAGTTGACTCGACGCATCAAAGAACTCTTTCAATTACTTTGGTGGAACCCAAACTCACACATCCTCAACTCTCCCTAAGCAATCCTCACCTTTAAGATAGTGGCACTCAGAAAAAGGATAATGGGAATTCACTCATCTCTCTCAAGAAAAAGCCACAAGTCCGGCTCTAGGTACCATATGCTTGCCCCTTACGTGAGTATCCACTAATGTAAGCTTTATTCAACTCAAGATCATATAGGGCTTTTGTGGAGACATTGTGAAGGCTTTTGGTTCAGGGTAGGAAATGTTTTAGTCTAAGTAGGTTCCATCTTCCCTTAAGCACTTCTTTTGATTCATTTGGCATCCATTCACTTGACTCTTTCAGTCATTTCACTTCTTTCTAAGGGGTTAGAGAGATACATTGTCACTCTTTCTTATGCATTTCAAACCTTTTCTCCTTTTTCAACTTTCCACACCTTTCATTCTTTGCTTTTCTTTGAATCCCTTTTTATTCTTTTTCACACTGAACTTTTTTTTTGTCTTTTTGCTTTTCTTTCTTTTTTGTTGCCTTTCCTTTTCTTCATTTTTGTGCCTTTTTACCACTTTGTTGCAATCCTCATCTCCCCCCCCCCCAAACTTATACTTTTGCCATGTGCTAAAGGAAAGATCGAGTGCCAAGAGAGGGTATCTTTTTAAAACGGGTATAGGCTTGTATCATGGTTATTGAAGGAAAAAGGTCTAAGGCTCAAAAAGGATTAACTAGGGATCTTGTCATTGGTAGGCTATGGAATTATTCAAACTATCATTTGGATTAAGGAGAGCCTATAATCATGTCTCAAGTCAACATTCACTTATGATTTTGCCTCAACAAACATTCAGGGCAAGTTCTAGACCAATGGCTCAGGACTTGGGCTTGCAATTCAATTACTCACCACACAAGCTATGAGATTGCTAAAGACACAGAGTCGGGAGCCCACAACGACCTTAGATAAGATTTAAGCTCACAATGGTCCAGAAAAACCACTTGATGATTATCGGCCAACAAAAGAGTCTCAAGGTCACAACTTTCACCACCCTCAACAGGACAAATTGTCTTTGATTATAAGATCAAAGGCAAATGTGCTAGGCCCAAGTGAAGCTTTGCTCGAAGCACCCTTAACTACTAACTACTAAAAACAAAAAGAAAAATGGACTCAAACCCTTAAGAAGGTTGTCACGCCATCTATCATTGGGAAGAGTCACCCGGTTCACACAACACTCCACCTTTCGAAAGAACCGTGGCATTAAGAAAACCAAAGGCTTGTTGCAAATTTTCAAAACAAAAAGCTACGAATCACAAATAAGAAGTTAAAAGCGAAAACTTTGCGGAAAGTAAAATGAATATATACAAGAGGGGATTTGTCGAATATACAATAGATGGGAAGAATATCTACATTATAACATCACTTTATATACAGACCCAAAGTAAAATAAAAGTGCGAGAAATGATAAAAATATATACAAACCAAAGATGAAAAATAAAGAAAGCATAAAAAGTATCAAAAATATATACAGTCATCCGAATGTATCCATGAAGCAAAAAGTAGGGCCTACCCCCTCAAATGAAAGTTGGCATTGTCCTCAATGCCAACTAACCAAAATAAAGCACCAAAAAGATGATAAAGAAGGGTATAGAGACTCCCTATGGCCTGTCTGTCTACATAGGCTCCTGAGTGGTCCCTAGGTCCTCACTGTGCCCGGAACCTCAGACTGGTTCCCTGTGTCCTGCTGCTCCGCTGCTGGGACCTGGTCCTGAACCTGGACAGGCTCCTGAGGTACATCCGGTGGCTGACTAGAGGAAGCCTCCGTTGGGTCGGCCAACTGGATGACTGCATCATCTGCTCTGGGAATCATCTTCCTCCTCTTGGGAGGCCTCTTTAACTGCTCCGGCTGGGGATGCTCTGCTGGTGCTGGGTCCTGGAGTAGTAAATCTAAAGGCAGGTGATCTGCCTTCAGTCTGTCAACATCCGCTCTAAGCTCCTTCACGGACTCCTTGGAAGCCCGTGTCTTCCTCAGCTTCTTGTGCTCCCTAGCAAGCTCCTTGAGAGCCTTGCTGTGTGAATCAACTGCCTCACCAAGCTTCTTCTGGTTGTCGAGGATTTTCTTCTGGTTGTCTGACATCTCCTTAAGAGCATCCTCTATAGACTGTGGAACCTGTGGAGCTGGAGGAGTCGACTGAGCCTCAACAGTGGTGGTCAAAATGGACAACTTGGATGAGGCAGTGTGCATCCAGTTGTTGATACTCATAAGTGCCTGGCTCAATCTGTGCGCAGTGATAGGATGGGCCCGAGAAGATGGAATCTTCGGGCCTGCTGAGGTGGATGGGCCAGCAGGAATGGCTGTGGATGTGGATGGACCGGGAGGGACATCTGTGGAAGTGGAGGTAGGCTCAGCAGGAGCCACTACCACGACTGACTCTTCAGACTGGCCAATTGTAGTAGTAGATGTACCCTTGAAGCTCTTGCTCTTGGGGTTGTCATCCCCCTGCATGCTATACCAGGAAAAAGGAGCCTTCGCTTTGACTTTGACATCGAAGGGCTTCTTTTCATGCTCCGCACCCACTATAGAAATGATTCTGGACATCATTCCCCATGTTGATGGGGTACCCTGCCATGATAGGAGCCACTAACACAGCTCGGGAAAGAGGAAGGGTGTTGTCATGTGTCGTGGGGTCCAACCTGCTACATACAAAAGTCTCTCACCCCCGTGCCTCAAAGTTTAAACTTCTTCTCAGAATTTTGACTCCAGCAGTCAACCAGTCAGGGGTGGTACCTGGGATTGCCAGGTACTGTGCTATCCAGGGACGAACCTCCTCACCCATTTCTAACTTTTCCATGTACAAGGTCTCATCCTCATCATTTAGGCCAAGGTATTCGTTGAGGTACTTCCCTTCAAATAACACTTTCAGATTCCGGACTTTGGTCACATTGGAGCCCTTTTTGATGTGGGCTACATTGCAGTAAAACTCTTTGACCATGTGTTCATTGGCATCCACACACTCTTCTAGAAAATGTTCCCAGCCCACTCTTGTCCTAAACTGCCTCAGCACGTTGGGGTTGTGAGGTAACAGGTCTTTGTCAATAAAGCTTCGCTCTGGGATCAACTTTCTTACCGGCCACCACTCCCGAAATTTATGGTACGCCACCTCATTCACGAATCTATCTTGCCAAACTTCTGGTTTTCTAGTTTTGGTAATGCCTTCCACCTGAGGCTCACCTCCTTCTCCTACTTCCTGTTCTCCACCAACATCCTCCTCCGCACCTACTGCACCCTCTCCAGATAATGAAGCTGTGGGAGAGGTGGAGTATTCCCCACTACCTGCTGTTGAGCCCTCAGACGACTCAGAAATGACATTAGTTGGTGCTTGGGCAGTGGGTGATGGTGTAGGAGTGTCTCTTAGTCGAGGTCTTTCCGGCCAGTCTTCCATGTATTCTGACATGGAATCCGAAGAAATGTCTCTTGATGGCTCATACTCACTCCCCGAGGAATGGGAGACAGCTCTATCAACTGCTTTTATTAGTTTTCTGGTCCTTTTAATGTTTTACCGAGCTTGGGGAGTGAGTTTTATCATCTTCTTCTTCCCTCCCCGGGAGGATTCTCCTCTGCCTGGTTGTTTACCATGTTGTCTCACCATTGTCTGCAATCATAGTTCAATCAGCTTGTTAGTATTAGAGTGATCAGTTAAGAACAAAGTTGCAAAAGCAGAACACGAAATGTTGCAGACAGGTTGCAGAAGTTACCCAGTGCGGACCGCACAAAATCAACCGCGGCCGCACTGGGGTCACCACGGACCGCATAAAACCAACTGCGATCCGCACAGGGGTGGGGTTCAGACTACCCACTCTTTGTATCTAGGCAGTGCGGACCGCACAAAATCGACCGCGGCCGCACTGCCTGAGGTTCAGCAAACAGGAGGGTACCAACGCGGTCCGTACAAATTGGCAGTGCGAACCGCATTGGGCCACAGCGGACCACACAAAAAACGACCGCGGTCCGCACTGAGTGCCCAGTTGTGGCACTAAATTAGGGTTCCATGTATTTTGATTTTGGGTCCAATTTTTCACCTAAGTAGTGTCTCTACATGATTACCTATTGATTTTAACTATCTATGGCTATTTTAACCTAAAAATTAACAACCCTAAGCTACTCAATTGAAAAAAATGAAGGAAGATGAGAATGAAAAAACAAGAAAAAAGAAAATTAAGAGAAAATTAACAAGATTGAGCAATTAAAAAGCTAGTAATGGTACCAGATGTGAGGGTTAATGAAGAATATCAAGTCCAAGCAGTTGATTGTAAGCAAAAAGGATGATGCACAGTGATTTTTAGGGTTCTGAGAGTTAAAGGTGCGAAAAGGGTAAAAGGAGGCTCACATTGCCTATTTATAGAAAAAGGACCTAGGGCCCAGTCTTACCAACCAGTGCGGACCGCACAAAATAGACCGCGGTCCGCAGTGCACAGCCTTGTTCCAGTCCACTTAACAACCCATTGCAGTCCGCATAAAATGGACCGCAGCCGTAGTGGTCCACCGCGGACCGTACAAAATGGTAGTGCGGCCGCACTGAAAAACTTCAGAGAGTCATCACATCACCCTTGACCAGTGCGGTCCGCACAAAATGGTAGTGCGGCCGCACTGGAAAACTTCAGAGAGCTGTGCATTTTTTTTCAATTATGTCCTGCACTACATCAACTCAATCTTGTAACATCTCACAATCAGTTAGCCCAAAAATCAATCCTACACTACAATGAAAATCAAATAAAAACAAGAATGAAAAACACATGGGTTGCCTCCCAAGAAGCGCCTGATTTAACATCGCGACACGACGCATGTTACAATCCAATCATTTGAAATGAACAATAGCCACCATATGGCTATCATCAAACTTCCCCAAAAAAGTGCTTGACCCTATGCCCATTCACTCTAAAAACTTCCCCACTTTTGTTCTTCAAATCAAGAGCACCAAACGGGGTCACACACACTACTTCAATGGTCCGCTCCACTTTGACTTCAGCTTTCCCGGGAACAACCTTAGTCGAGAATTGAATAAGAGCACCAAATCTCCCACCTTGAACTCCTTGCCCCGAGTGTATTTGTCATGAAGGTATTTCATATTATCCTTATACAGGGACGAACTAGAGTAAGCATGGAACCTAAATTCATCAAGCTCATTCAGTTGCTCCACCCGAAGATTAACAGCTATGTCCCAATCAAGATTCAACTTCTTCAAGGCCCACATGGCCTTATGCTCCAACTCCACTGGTAGTTGACATGCTTTCCCAAACACCAACCGGTACGGCGACATACCAATTGGAGTCTTGTAAGCGGTCCGGTAAGCCCATAGAGCATCATCCAACTTTTTAGACCAATCGGTCCTATTGATATTGACGATTTTGGACAAAATGCTCTTGATCTCCCTGTTAGACACTTCAACCTGGCCACTTGCTTGAGGATGATAAGCCGTAAACACTTTGTAGTTGACACCATACTTGGAAAGCAAAGCATCAAAAGCTCTATTACAAAAATGCGATCCTCCATCACTAATTGCCTGAGGTTTACCAAACCTTGTGAAAATGCTCTTCTTCAGAAATGCCACCACACTCCTAGCTTCATTGTTGGGCAAGGCCAGGCCTCAACCCATTTTGAGACATAATCGACCGCTACAAGAATGAAGGTGTTTCCACACGAGCTTACAAAAGGGCCCATAAAATCGATATCCCATACATCAAAGATATCAACTTCGAGAATGGTGTTTAGAGGCATCTAATCTTTCTTTGAAACCCCGCCCGCTCGTTCACATTGATCACACCTTTTTACTAGATCACTTGCATCTTTGAACAAGGTTGGCCAATAAAAACCATAACTCAGAACTTTCGAAGCCATACTCGCCCCTCCATGATGGCCACCATAGGGGGAGGAATGACATGCCTCTAGGATGCTAAATTGCTCCTCCTCAGGTACACACCTCCGGATCACTCCGTTGGTGCAAATATTGAACAAGTATGGCTCGTCCAATAGAAGTCCAAACTATCCCGTTTGAGCTTCTTCCTTTGGTTAGAAGAGAGATCAACACGGGATGATGCTAGTCACAAGGAAATTAGCAATGTTCGCAAACCATGGCATAATCACACATAGACACAGAAAGTAGTTGCTCATCATGGGATGAATACATTGATCTCTAGGCCATTACACGACCTACCTTCCTCCTCCAAGCGGGACAAATGATCCGGCACTTGGTTTTCGCTACCTTTTCCGGTCCACTATCTCCAAATCAAACTCTTGAAGTAATAAGACCCATCGCATCAGTCTAGCTTTGGAGTCTTTTATTTGTCATGAAATATCTAAGAGCTGCATGATCGGTGGTGCACTATGACTTTTGGTCCATAATATGTGGCCGAAATTTTTCCATGGCGAACACAATAGCCAACAATTCCTTCTCAGTCACCGTGTAGTTCCTTTGAGCCTCGTTCATAGTCTTGCTCGCATAGTACACTGGATGAAACATATTGTTCACTCTTTGATCAAAACTGCCCCAACCGCAACATCACTCGCGTCGCACATAAGCTCGAAAGGCAAGCTCCAATTGGTGCGGTAATGATCGGGGTGGTGGTCAACTTATGTTTTGAGAAGTTCAAAGCTTGCATACATCTCTCATCAAACACGAACTTTGTATCTTTTTCTAGCAACTTGCAAATAGGATTCACTACCTTCGAAAAGTCCTTGATAAATCGTCGGTTGAAACCCGCATGCCCAAGAAAACTCCTCACCCCCTTGACAGAAGTGGGGGGAGGAAGCCTTGAAATAACCTCTATCTTCCTTTGTCAACTTCAATCAATGCTTTGAAATTGTATGGCCCAACACTATGCCCTCCTCAAATTAGCACAAGAATTGGTGTCTTCACACCGGGCCAACACTCTATCCAAATTTCCCAAACACTCTTCAAATGAATCACCAACCACACTGAAGTCGTCCATGAAACCTATAATATATCTTCCACCATATCGGTGATGAAAATGGCCATCATACATCGTTGGAATGTTGCCGGTGCGTTGCACAACACAAAGGGAATCCGAGAGAAAGCAAAGGTGCCATATGGACAGTAAATGTTGTCTTCTCCTGATCCTCGGAGCTATCAAAATTTGATTGTACCCTGAATAACCGTCCAAGAAACAATAAAAAGGCACGCCCAGTAAGGCGATCTAGCTATCTGGTCAGGAAGGCAATGGGAAGTGATTCTTGCGGGTCACCTTGTTCATCTTGCGGTAGTCCATGGACACCCTCCATACGGTCACTGTTCGGTTGGATAAGTTCATTATTAGCATTGGTCACTACGGTCATACCAACCCTTCTTCGGCACATATTTCACCGGAGAAGTCCATGAGCTGTCAGAGATAGGATACACCACGCCTGCATCTAACCACTTGATCACCTCTTTTTCACAACTTCTTGCATTGCCTCATTGAGCCTCCTTTGATGTTCCAAGGAGGTTTTGAATCATCCTCCAGAATAATATCTTGTGCATACAGAAAGCGGGGCTTATTCCCCGAATATCAGCTAGAGTCTATCAATTGCCTTTTTTCACTTTTTGAGTACCGCCAATGTGGCGTCAACCTGCATGTTAGGTAAGACAAGAGGAAAGAAATAACTGGTAAAGTTTGATTAGAGCCCAAGAATTCATACCTGATGTGAGGTAATGGCTTCAACTCCAACAGCGGGGTTCCTCAATTGAAGGCTTTGTTGGAGGAGTCTTTCTATTTTCCAGATCCAAAGAAAGTTTCCTAGGCTCATAAGAATAAGAGCCCATTCCATGTAAAGCATTCACGCACTCCACTCGGCCCGCATCATCATTGACATCCAAGTTCAACAATACGGCCTCCAAAGGGTCCTCAATATGATCATTGCACTTGTGTCATCAATTATCACAGCCGTGACTAAATCCACAAATGCAGCATACTTCGGTACAATTGGGCTGCTTCATTGACTTACACACATGAAAGACACCTTTTCATCACCCACCCTGAAAGTTAAGTTCCCCTGCTTCCACATCCACTAGAGGCCTAGTGCGGACCGCACAAAATGGACCGCGGTCCGCACTGGGCTCTTGACTTCAAAAAAAGCCGATCCTCGAGGTCCAGTACAAAGGTCACTCCTCATCCCGATCTTATAAAAGAGGAAGTCACTCTCTGAAACTTGGGCACCGCAGGACAAACAACAGAAATGGACTGCGGCCGCGGAGTTTCTAGTGCGGTCCGCACAGAATGGACTGCGGGACCGCACAGGCTTCAAAACTTCAATCTTCATCTTTCTGAACCTTGGCTCTGGCGACCGCACATAATGGTAGTGCAGCCGCATTGCCTTCAGTGCGGACCGCACAAAACCTAGTGCGGCCGCACTGCCTTAATGCTTGAAATAACAGCTCTCTGAATCTCCCAGTGCGGACAACACAAAGTGTAGTTGGCCGCACTTGGGCGTTGCTTTGCTTGAGCTTGACCTTGACTTTTGTCACTTGTGCAAGCTTCACTCCTTTTGAGCCGATCTTTGAATTTGATCACTTTGTTGATCAAACCTGCAATCAAGCCACAACTTGTGAGCCTTTTTGGGACTATTTTGTATGATATTTGATCAAAGCATAAGCAAGAAGGAGTATAAAATGCGTCGAAATCTCTAGTTATCAGATACTCGACTGGTAACTGTTGTTGTAGGCAAACTCCGCTAAAGGCAAAAAACTGATCCAACGAGCTCCAAAGTCAATGACACAAGCTCGGAGCATATCCTCCAAAATCGGAATGGTACGCTCGACTGCCTGTCCGTCTGAGGATGAAATGTTGTGCTCAACTCGACCCGTGTGCCCAACTCTCGCTTGAAAACTACTCTCCAAAATGCGAGGTAAGCTGCGTACCTCGATCAGAAATGATAGACACGGGCACACCATGAAGACGAAACAATCTCCCGGATATAGATATCAGCTAACCTCTCAGAAGAATAGGAGACTGCCGTAGGAATGAAATGCGCTGACTTCGTCAGCCTGTCAACAATAACCCACACTGCATCGATCTTCCTCTGAGTCTGTGGGAGTCAATAACAAAGTCCATAGTGATCCGCTCCCACTTCCACTCGGGAAGCTCAATCCTCTGAAATAAACTACCAGGTCTCTGATGCTCGTACTTTACCTGTAACAATTCAAACACCACGCCACATACGCAACAATATTCTTCTTCACCCTCCTCACCAATAGTGCTGCCGTAAATCCTGATACATCTTAACGGCGCCCGGATGAATAAGAGTACCGGGAACTATGGGTTCTCCTCTAAAATCAACTCTCGAAGTCCATCCCCACATTAGGCACACAAACTCGAACCTGAAGCCTCAAAACTCCTTATCTCCTAATGTAACCTGCTTGGCACCACCGTGCTACACCGTGTCTCTAAGAACACACAAATGAGGATCATCATAGTGCTGATCTTCGGATACGCTCCAATAAAGAAGAACGAGCGACTGTGCAAGCTAATACATGGCTGGGCCTCAGAAACATCCAATCTCACGAACTGATTGGCCAAAGACTGAACATCCAAAGCAAGCGGCCTCTCACCAACCGGGAATATACGCAAGACTGCCTATACTGGCTGACTTCCTACTCAAAGCATCGGCCACCACATTGTCCTTCCCGGATGATATAAGATGGTGATATCATAGTCTTTCAATAGCTCAACCACCTCCTTTATCTCAAATTCAACTCCTTCTGCTTGAACAAGTATTACAAACTCTTGTGATCTGTGAACACCTCACATGCCATGCCATACATGATAATGCCTTCAAATCTTCAATGCGTGAACAATGGCTGCTAACTTCCAAATCATGGAACGGATAGTTCTTCTCATGAATCTTCAACTGACGCGGAAGCATAAGCAATGACCTTGCCATCCTGCATCAACACGCACCAAGTCCAAGACGAGATGCATCACAACAAAAAATATATGCCCCTGAACCTTGTGGCAAACCAAAACACCGGCACCGTCGTCAAAGTTGTCTTGAGCTTTTGAAAGCACACCTACACTCGCCAACCACCTGAACTGGGCACCCTTCAGGGTCAACTTGGTCATCGGGCTGCAATAGATGAAAAAGCCCTCCACGAACCGACGGGTAATTAGACTGGCCAAACCCAAGAAACTCTGAATATCTGTAGCTGATGCGGGTCTGGCCAGTCCTTGACTGTCTCTATCTTCTTTAGATCTACCTGAATACCCTCTGCTGAAACAACATGACCCAAGAAAGAAACTGACCCCAACCAAAACTCGCACTTCGAAAAACTTAGCATACAACTGACTATCTCTCAAAGTCTGAAGAACAACTCTCAGATGCCGCTCATGCTCCTTCACCGACTGCGGAATAAATCAAAATATCATCAGTGAAGACTATCACGAATGAATCCAAGTAAGGCCTGAAAACTCGGTTCATCCATAAAAATTGCTGGGGCATTGGTCAACCCAAATGACATCACCATGAACTCACAATGCCCGTACGAGTGCGGAAAGCTGTATTAGGGACATCGGATGCCCTAATCCTCAATTGATGGTAGCCAGATCTCAAGTCAATCTTCGAAAATACCTTGGGCACCCTGAAGCTGATCAAACAAATCATCAATCCTCAGCAATGGATACTTATTCTTGATTGTAACTTGTTCAATACTAGTAATCTATACACATTCGCATCGATCGCGTCCTTCTTCATAACAAACAACGTTGGCGACCCCAGCGAGACACTAGGTCTATGAAGCCTTTCTAAGAAAGTCTTGCAACTGCTCCTTTAACTCTTTCAACTTAGGCGGGTCCATACGATACAACAGGATAGAAATGAGCTGAGTGCCCGGAAGCCAAATCAATGCAGAGTCAATATCCCTGTCGGGTGGCATACCCGACAGGTCAGAAGGAAATACCTCAGAGAAACTCATGAAACAACAGGCACAGAATCAATAGAGGAACCTCGCACTAGAATCACGAACATATGCCAAATAGGCCAAACACCTCTTCTCGACCATGCGCGAGCCTTCGTGTTGAGATAACATATGGGTAGAATGACCAGGAGGTCCCTCTCCACTTAAACGAGGTAACCCCGAAGAGGCTAAGGTCACAATCTTGGCATGACAGTCCAAGATCGCGTGGTAAGGCGATAATCTCTCTCT